CCTTCCTTCCTTCCTTCCTTCCTTCCTTCCTTCCTTCCTTCCTTCTTCTTCTTTCTCTGATATGAATTTTTATTTATTTCCAAGATTAAAATACAATATCCTTCCTTCCTACTTTCCTTCCTTCCTTCCTTCCTTCATTTATTTTTCTTTCTCTGATATGAATTTTTATTTACTTCCAAGATTAAAACACAATGTCCTTCCTTCCTTCCTTTTTTCCTTCCTTCCTTCTTTTTACTAACAAGGCCATAATAAAGATTAAATAATAGTTAAGGTTAGTTAATGATTATTGTAAATGTGCTTGGCTATTAAGATGAAAAAAGTTTAATCCGTATTTTCAATGTGAATATTTCTAACTTATTCTGTTCAAGATACCCTGTTGATACTTCCTTAAGATGCGGGAGCTTCATCCCTGGAGGTTTTCAAGAAGGGACCAGACTACCATCTGTCAGAAATAGTGTAGGGTCTCCTGCTTGGGTGCCTGGGGGGTGGAGGGGGGTGGACTACAAGGCCCCTTCCAACTTTGTTATTCTATTTGAAGATGGCAATATTTTCAATCTGCATTTCACATTTTGTACGTGGTTTTGAGCGGCCAAGATTTCTGTCTCCCAGGAGTGAAAACAAGGAACAATTTCCCCCAAAGCGTTGAAATCTGTTATCCTCATTAATTTCCTAAGCAGAAAGTAACTAATCTTGATTTCCCAAGTCACCTGGAAAAGAGATGGTACAACTTTCTAAGCTCTGCCAAATGCAGCTTAATAGGCCAAAGAAGCAGGCACTTTTTAAGTTTTCTTCCAGATTCAGGTTGCTTTTTAAATATATATCAAGTGATTCACCAGTTGCCAAAGATTTTTTGGTAGCTTAAGAACCAGATGGATTTTGACAGTCTTGAACACTGGGCCCTATCTAACAAAATGAAGTTTAATGTAGAGAAAAATAAAGTCCTACACTTAGGCAAGAAAAACCAAAAGGACGCATACAGACTGGGTGAAACCAAGCTCAATAGCAGGAACTGGGAGAGGGATCTTGGAGTCTTAGTGGACAACCAGCTAAATAGGAGC